TTACATATTTTTCATAGCTTGTATTGATCATCTTATAGCCTATTTATAGGCCTTGATCAATGCCCCACGAAGTGGCGCCAAAACTTGTGGAAGAGTTGCAAGATGCCCTCCAAAAGCCGCCAAAACTGAAGCCAAAAAACTGCCCAACTGCCTTTCGGCGCATGTGCGCCTCATGGTAGCGCAGGGGCGCTACTATTCTCGGGTTAATGGCGCAGGGGCGCCTAGTTGGGCGTGGGGGCCTCTATTCCTTCTATAATTCCATTTTTCATTCCAAGTTCGATTTTTGATTTCGAACAACATTTACAACAGGATCAGCAAGTCACTGGTTCAGTGTCAACCAGAGTTTACTGGGATATTGTTTGTTTTGCTGTTATGGCCATATATTTTATCATTATATGAAAAGTACGTCAATATGGGTTAATTTTAAGCTCATTGGAGCACCTACCTTTGAGACTTATACCTTGTTTGGGCTCTATTATTTGAAAAAAATTGATTTTGAAATGGTATTTTTTTGGAGAATGTGTGATTAAAAAGTAAAGAAAATTTTTGGGTTTATGTGTAATATTATTTTATTTATAGAATGTGTGAAAGAAAAAAAAAATGAATTAAAATTTAATGAGATCAAACATGGGCTTAATATGCAGAACTCCCACATCTTTTGAAATTGGAGGAAAGCCAAATGTACGAAGTTTAGAGTATGTTCTAATTTCTCGTCATCCATTTTCTCAATAAAAAATGATGAAATGACAAATATATTTTCCTATTTAAAAATAATAATAATTGTAATTATAGTTCCAAATTTATTTTTTTTAAAGTGTAAAAGAATTCGTGTTTGGCACCCATTAATTTTTTTTTAAATTTTTCTTTTTTTAATTATAACCACATTCTCCAAGTAAATAATATTACACACAAATTTAGGGTCTGTTTGGATCAGATTAAAATCTGATTTTAATCTAAATCAAAGTTAAACAATCAATATTAACCACATTTTTCATGGGTCACATATCTTTTCAACCACAGATTTCAAAAACTTCTATCAAAATCCACTAAAATCTAATTTTAATCCCCCACCAAACTTTTCATTACTTTTCAACCACACATTCTTTCATCGATCATTATTTCAAAATTTATTTTTTCCCAAAAATAAGTGCCAAACACATGCTTAAATAAATTAGAAATAAAAATAAAAAATCCTTTATGGACCTACCCTCTTCCCACCACCACCACCTCCGTCGCCATCACCGCCATCTTCTCAACTCATTGAGGACCCAATCGGCTCCCTCAACCTCATATTCTCCACCTTCTCCTCCTCTTTTTCATTCCTCTTTCCGTCCTCCTTCACGTCATCACCCTCAAGAGAACCCTCCAAAGACCCCTTCAGTCGCTCCTTCAACTCTACCAGCACTAGTGAAGATGCTGAAAAATTAAAGCCCATTACAGTGAAGATGGCGTTGAAAGGCCCATTCATTAACAAAAGAAAAGGGCAATTGAAAAAGGGTTAATTAGGCCAAATACCCTCCAAAACTAACAAATTAGAATAATACACTAAAACTAATTATAATCTTTAACCCCCGTAATTAATACGCTCCAGAAGCTCCAAATCATCATCCCCAACACTAGCCAGTAGCCACGAAACCCTCCACTTTGAAACCCTCCACCGTGAAATCATC